ATATATATATATATATATATATATATATATATATATATATATATATATATATATATATAGTGTGTGTGTGTGTGTGTGTGTGTGTGTGTGTGTGTGTGTGTGTGTATATATAGTATAGCAGTACATAATTATACATATGCCATTTAGTAATATATGTGCTTTTTTATGGATCTGTGGGGTGAGTGAGTGTTTTGAGATTTTCTTCTTCGTAAAGCTTTGTTCGCTTGAAACCACCTTCTTTTTCACGGGGCTTGCCTTGCTGCGATATCACTACCGGACCATGTCTTGCTATTTCCAGTTTTTGCTATTCTCCAACTACACCAATCCTCAATAGAGCTTGTTACTATCAGTGTTTCCTTCCTCGCTGGTACCCCTCCAATTTTACCAAAATATTTACCACTTGCTGATTTCAAAGTATACGCAACTTCGCCAAGAGGGTATTGAAATTTCTACCCGATTTTAGGTGAAGGGTTTTTCATTACATATAATGATAGAGCAATGTGCTGCCCTGCTACGTATGGCCAGTAATCAATTGGTTTGAGTGCGAAGGGACCAAACAATAGGTTTTGATCCAGCTCATCATGTACAATTGATTGCTGGTGCCATGTGGCGTGCTCGTGGATATGCTGGTAGTGGTTGTACGCTTTTTTTATGCCTTTTTAGTCTGTTAGGTCTTTGAGGTTGCACTTGTATTTTCGTACTGTTCATATAATGAATTGTGCATTATGTTGGAAAGTGAGCGGTAGATACTTCTTTTAAATGTTAATATATGTACTGGTGTTGTGAATGTAGATTGACCAGATGTGTATGTGTACACGTATGTTTTGCGTATTCGTGAGTAGAGCGACTACAGCCACTCCTGTTGATATAGCCAATGCAAAAAAAAAAATGAGCTAGGTGTGTTAGTGGCTAGTACACTTGATAATGCAGCTACAGTAGCGGAATTCTAGGAGGTACTGTTGATAAAATGATAAAACATGAGTGGTATGCGATTCGCGTCTGCTACTAAGAAAGTGACCAATATTACCGCATGGCATAATCAGGGCAACATTCATCGACAAATGTATCACACTTTCTGCTGTGTATATGTCAAACTAACTACTTACCATGATCAGGCACCCAATCATGTCACCAATAGCAACTTCATCGGCGCGAAACGAATGCGCATGAGTGTACCTTTTTCCTATACTAACATGTCTTTATCGATATATATACTGAACAGCTGTCTACTAAGTTTCTTTGTTTCTGCAAGAGACAACTTACCTTGGGTAGAGTTTGGTCTAGAATCGCGAGTAGTGATGGGATGCCTTTGTATCTACTGTTCCGTGAGTATACATTCCGATTCCTTAGCGTGAGATGTTGGAGATTTGACCGAGGAGCTCTTCGATTTGGGACGACTGAGATTTCAAGAATACCTTTGATCATTCGATGTGGCCTAGCATTAAATCAAAAGATGAGACATCGGTAGCTGGCTTGAGAAGTGGTTGAGCTACTTGCGGCGGTAAAGGTTAACAACGATTGGACCCGGTGGTTTGGGCTAGGTGTATGAATTAGAGGTATGATCCGGGTTAATGGGCACTAAGAACCAGTTGCGGACCAAGCGGAAAGGATCCCAATACACTGAGGGCGTTCATCAAAGGTGCCGCTGTTGTAGTGACTGGTATTGGAGTTTATTGGTGATTGGACGCGTAGCAACGCTGGGTGGTGCTGGGCAAATGTTCTCGTCTGCGCTAATGATGAGCTATACTGGAGCGTGGGGCGTCAGGATTTTTCCGTAGAGAAATAATCTTGATTTCAGTCGAAGTATTTGATTTAGTTTTCTTCGTAACCTTCGTTAGTCTGGTGCTGACTTCCTTCCGCACTGTGGTATTCGAATATTAACATATTCGTTCTATTTTATTAGAACTGGGAGTGAAATAGTGGGATAAATCCTATTCGTACACCACATATTCAATTTCAATTCGATCAGTGACGCACAGATTGGTTTACTCCCCACCATTCTACTCCACGTTCTTTTCATTGCACAACCCACTGGGTTGGACTATAAAAGGACGATAGACAGGCGACTGTCAATATCCATTTTTCCTTCTACCTGCTTTTAGCAAAAGCATTTGCTCGCCTATCAAATTCTGTCCTCCACTACCTTGTAGTGAAGAACAATTAATATAACCTTGGCCCGGACGCCGAATAAGTGCAGCGAAAGCAGGCTGCTCAGGAAGTTCCGTGTATTAGGCAAACTCAGCTGGCCCGAGTAAACCAGCAAGCCCAGC